ATTCCCTGAGACAGGAGAAGATGGGACAAGTTACAACAATTTCCTAGTTGCACTGATACTTTGGTTTAGCAAAAGATAACATAGTTCCACTCTTCTTTTTTTTTTTTTCTTTCTGTTTTGATCTGCTCACTAGTGTTCCTTACTTTGCAGAATAGAAGGGTGTGATGTGAGATTCTTAAATCTGATTCACTGTGTCCTGACAGTTCATAGAAGTGCAAAGCATAGGAAAGCAGAGTCTGGCAAACAGCTGGCACGTTTTGTTATATTTATGGGTTTTTGTAAGATTGTCTGCCAGAAATGACCATACTCAAAAAAGATGCTCAGATAGAAGTCTTTGAACACACTTCTTGCAGAAACAAAGTGATTGTTGATACGTTCTATCTTTAACAGAAGGTAGAATACTTTGCTATAAAGTTGGACACAATAAAGCGTCTTGAGACATCTCATGGAAGAATAAAAGGAGTTTAATTTGAGAGTTGCTTGAGACTTAATACCAAAAGCTTAGGAAGAGGAATTGCCATTAAATATTTTTCTGTAGTTTAAACTAATGAACTTTATTTAGCATTGGAGAAATTACCTTTGTGTTGTCGATGACTTTTAGAATAAGGCTGATCCCACTGGTTCTGCTTCATAATGACAAACTTTTAATTTGAACAGAGCATCTCAACTGAAAAGGAGACATGTCTTTTTGCAGACTTTTATTTCCTCCTGTAGTGGCTCCTTGCCTGGTCTTAGGTCTTGGTTGGCAGCTATTCATAAACATGGCATTCTCTGTAAGGCATATGTTTATGCTGTCTGGGCCATCTTGTGATTGCTATCTGCTCTTTACTAAAGATCAGTAGGATTGGCTTTGCTGTAGAAATACTTGATTCCTGTGAAGTATTTTGCTAGCACAAAGCAAAGAGCAATGATGGGTCAGAGCAAAGCAGCTGTGCAATGAAGAATGCTGCCCAGGTGTGGTAAGCTGTGAAAGTTTACCCTCTTACTGTGGAGGAGTTAGTGTATATGTGGGAGAGGAAGAGAGGAGAAGCAGGCAGTTGTGGTGATTTTGTTTCCTTTTACATCATTTGAGACAAAATTTGGCAACTTCTTGTCTCAACACATGCCCAGGGTGACCAAGTGAAATGCACATAGCATTTGGTTGTATTGTGTTAAGGCCTGTGAGAAAGAATGAGAACAAGAAATAAGATGCGTGTCACCTAAGAGAGCAGCATAAAATTTGACTGAATTGAAAATGCTGAAATAAAGCTGCATCACTGTGATAGATGTACTCGATGTATACATGGAGAACATGTAGATCTGTAGGCAGTAAGTCTTACTAAGCAGCCTGCAGGTTAGATCTCGTACAGTTAGTAATCTTATTTTGTGTGTTGACATTAACAAAAGCATTGCAAGAAGAAGCTGAGAACTTCGCAATACTGAGCTTTTTTAAATCTCCAGCTGGAAAAAGGAATGCTTAGAGCTAATTATTTTAGGTTTTGGGAATCAGTTGGCTTCCAATTTCTGTTTTTTTGTTAAATGATTGCTTTTCCAATAGTGAAAAGTAAGTGGTTCCATGTTCAGACTATGGATAGATTCCAAAAACAGTTTTTAGAGTTTAAGTTTTAAATCTTGTCATTAATTTTGTGGGGGTTTTGGCTTTTTCTTGCTTTTAAAAACAGAGAATATCGAAGAGTAAGCTACAACAAGATTTATGTTTTTAGCATCTTCTTGGTGTGTTCATTTTTTGATCTGGATATATTCTAAGGTCTAGGCCAATGTTGATAAACCAGTATTTGTAAAACATGTTGAAATTTGGGGGTAATTTGTACAATATGAGAAGTCTTGATTTATTATAGAAAGTTCGCCACTTTGGGGACCCTTCCACATTACATGTTCTTGAGAAACATAGTAGAATAATGCCTGTTTTCTCCTGTGAGGGTACTGCAGCTATTTAGAAGACTGCAGGAGGCAGTGCTTTCTGTTTTTTTTTGTTTTTTGTTTTTTTTTTTTAAAAAGATAGGCAACTCTTAATCAGCAAGTAGAATGATGAGAAATCAAACAACTTTTATGTGTTGATACGTAACTTCATGAATAACTGCAGGACTTGAGTCTTTTACTTGAAGATTGAGTTCCATTATAGTGGAGCGAGTGGGTTTTGGAGCAGTTCTGAACGTCTTGCAGGTTACAAAGTAGTCCTCAGAGGTCTGAGATGAAACAGTTTCCCTCAGCTGAGCAACCAGGTAACTTCAGGAGGTTACCCTTTTCAGAAGGTCTGAATACAGCTACTCCTTACTTGTTTTTCAGAACTATTTTTTGTTTGAAGGGAAAGCAGCTTGTTAGGCACAATTGTATGAAGTGACTTTACTTTCAGTTGGTCTCTGGAACATTTTCTGCAAAACAGGTCAGAATGTATCTGTAATAAGATATGATTCTGTTTTTTAAGCTATATTATTCCTGGTTTTCTTTCCTATTTTTAGTTTGTGTATCACCAATAGGAGTTGGTTGTTTGAGGTTTGGGGTTTTTTTTTGTGTGTGTGTGTAGTGGAGGGGTGTCAGGGTAGTAGAGGGGAAAGGTCAAAAAAAATCATCGACTGTAACCTTTGTTGCAGTGCTAATGTTTTTAATGTGTTTTGTGTTTTATAATAGAGGGTGGATCTTAATTTTTTTTTTTTTTTTAATATGCCCTTTTTAGATACAGTTTTATCACTCTGCTGTATGGGTTCCTGTGCCCGTGCAGCAGTTCGTTTCAGCCTGTTAGCTCTCTATATTAGTATTGGAAATACCTATTCCTTTGTGTTATTGTTATAACACTAGGTTTACAGAAATTTATTTGACAAGTGGGAAAATGTCTACCCATTGTAATCATGTAACTTCGTTTCCAGATCTTCAGTTCATTAACCAACTTGGTTAAAACCTATAAAATGTACCAATTCTATTCACTTTGAAGTTTTAGTAGCATTTCTGTTGTTGTTGGCAAAGTTTCCACTGTTAGTATTGTGTTTCCCTGAGAGAACATGTAGCTTGCAAGAAATCTTACTGGTATGCAGACAATAATACCCCAGGCTTTTTATTATGCTGTGTTGTGCCATAATAGTTTTATGACTATTTCCATTTGACATCTAAATCAGTAACTTATTGGAATCGCTGTTTTCCTTTTTAAAACCCTCTGTTTTCAGACTGCACATGAAAACAAAATTATTTTCTTATTAGCAGGGATTAATATTAAAATTACTTTCGTTGTCCTGGAAAGATGATTTTACTGCTCTTCTCTCCACGAGAGTTTCTTTCTTTTAAAAGAAAAATCTGTTGTGGATGAGTGGAAGGTATGATGGCAGTAAATACTCTTACATCTTTAAGCAAAGCGGTGTGTGTAAAACAGACTTTGATTGCATTAGGTTGCAAAGAAGGCAAGATGTTCATTCATCACTTCTGCAGGAGTAATATACCCCATGCATCATCTGACTACTGTATCCCTCTCTGGCTTTGTGAATTTTACTTTGAGAACTTTTAATTACCCTATTCCTGATTCATTGTCTTTTGCCGCCTTTTTTTTTTTTTAAGATATATAGCTGTGTAGAATTGAGTTCTTTGTAATAGAAGATCAGATATCAAATGTAAGTTGATACTGAGAGTGCAGCAAAGGTTCTATGTTGACACTGGCATGAGTGTGATTGTATCTGTTCACCTTCCAGTTATTTCTAAACCTGTTTTGTCTTCAGCATGGCTTTTGTTGCAAATCCCAACAGAGAATATTCGTACGTTAAAAACAGATTTAGGTCATAGTGTCAGAATAATATTGCAAAAAAATGGGAAGTTTTCTGCCCATGTGGTATGAGAAAAGGCATTTTGGGGCTCTGATATAGTTGAGGAGCCAATGCATGCATCTGGATCGCCATTTTCTTACCAGTTCTTTGTTGCAGCTGATGGGCAAATTCACAGGAATTAGATCACCGTTGCTTGTGAAAATCTGCAAGGCGTCTTTCCTTCCCACCTATAATCAGTTTTCTTTCTTGATTTACAGATGAGGCAGCTGTTAGTACCGATTCTTTCTTCATCTAGATACTGAGTGGGAGGGTAAAAGCACTATCTGCTGCAGATACGAGTGACTGTAACTGTATTTCATCATTCTGTTGTTACTATTTGAGCTTTTATGGTTAGACACAAATGTTGCAGAGAAGGAAGTAGGCCAAATTTAGTAGCTTTCAAAGGGCTGTACACAAGGCATAGCTAGTTTCTGGAACATTAGAGAAACCCAGTAAAACGAGTTGAACGTCCTAAAAGAAGGTTAGACAGCATTTATTTGTGCTCTTGCCTTTACTGGTCTTCTGAGTTTCCTGCTTCTTTAGTTTGTTACCTGGGTGCCTGGCCTTCCATTTCAGTGGAAACAAGACAATCTAAATCAGTGCTAAAATAACTCTGAAGGTGTAAACCTGCAGTAAAAGTTGTACTAATCCGAGATGAGTAAAAATACTGATGAATTCTGCTTAAAAGTAAAATAACAGTAAATTCTTAATGTATGCACAACCACAATGTATGAAGTATTCAGTATATTCTAAATAAATTTATTAGAAAAGTTCGGAAATTTTTGTGGGATGTTTCTATTTTCTTAGTCTCAATAAAATTCTGCATATGCTTAATAAATTTTTTAGCTAAAAAACAGGATACAGGGTTCTCCTGTCCAACCTTTCCCTCTTATTTCCTTTTTTTCCCAATTTATTCGGACCTTTCTTTCTGAGAAGGTGGAATTTTTTCTGTTTCATGAAGGAAGAACATGTTTTCTGCAGCTGGGAAGAAAAGTAGCTTTTCTTCCAAAATACTGGAAAGCAGGTATCAAACATCAGATTCCATTTAGCATTGCTTTTTGTTTGGGCTTTGCATTAGGAGGTGGGAGCCCAGCTTATTCACTTAGCAAATTTTCTTGTTCAGCAACTGATTTTAGAACTGCTTCATGTGGTAAGAGATGGTAGTGTTATTATGTTAAGAAGTCATTAATTTTAGACTGTCTGTTGTTTGTCTAGGTTTTTAGGCCGTTTCTTGGTAAAGATGGCAGCCAACAATGCAGTGCTGAACAGACTGGAGCAGAAGGGTGCAGAGGCCGATCAAGTTATTGAATACCTCAAGCAACAAGTTGCTCTGCTCAAGGAGAAAGCTAGTAAGGAATAATCTATCTTATGATAAACTTATTAACCAGATGGTTAACATTAAATGCTCATAGGAAAAAATGAGAACATGGACAACTTCATTGGTGCCGTCAGCCTTTTAAGTGTGTTTCAAGTTCTCCAAGATAAAGCTTGTAATAGTAGCACCGCTTCACTGTCTTGTGGTTTGTGGGTTTTTTTTGAAGCTGCTTATTCTGAAATAAGAAAGGCATGAATGAGGAAGGATTTATGACACAAACAGATTATGGAAATTTGGTAGGACACAATTCTGTATGGGGGGAGAAAGGGAGTCAGGAAGAATGGGAGACTATGCATTTGCCTGAATGCGTTACTGCTTTTTCACCACTATGGGATTCTCTCAAGCGTATCATACCTTCAACTTTGATATTTTGTACATATCGGTATCCGTGAATTAAGGTGCTCCATATTACAAACATGTTAAAGCTTTTTCAAATAGGTTTCTTGGAATTTTTTCTTGTGAGTCTATTTAGGGGACTGAGAAGCTAGTATATTGAGAGGCAACTTGAGTACGTAAGTATTGTAAAAAAAATGGCTATTTCAACAAAAACAGGATTCAAAAATATTTCTGATGATACAGTCCTTGAAAGTTTCCACTTTTTTGGTGTTTGGCTCACCATGTTTCACTTTGCTCTGAAAACAAAACCTCTGTTTGCCAAATGATGAATGCTGATTATTGAAACCTGTCATTTTTAATATAGTGTCAACTTTAGTCTTGCAGGCATCTCTCCGAGAAGAGAAGAAGCTCCGTGTGGAAAATGCTAAACTGAAGAAAGAAATTGAAGGGCTGAAACAGGAGCTGATTCAGGCAGAAATTCGAAATGGAGGTGGGGGGAAAAAGTCCTATCTTCATACAACATAGTTTTGATCATATTTTGTGCTAACAAGATCTCTCTTAATTCTTCTTGATTTTTATCTTTCTGTATGTGACTTTATTGCATTTCGTAGAAATTCTGGATTTTCCTAGGTTCCATGCCTATGACAGGTTACTTAATTCTAACATTTTAGTAAGCTGCAAGCCTAACGGGTACATATGCAAATCTTAATCAGACATGGAACTGGTTCTTTGTATGTTTTTGTACCGTGCCTTCCATAATAAGCCCCGAATTTGACTGATGACAATGACTCCTTATAATACCTTAGAAGTTGCTGAATGTCTAACACTTCTTGATACTCTGAGTATTTAATCTAGCATGACTGAAAAATCCCTGTGAAAATCAAGCCATAGATCAAAGTACAGATGGGCAGTGACTTATTAGAAAATCTGTGGTAACGTAGAATTAGAAACAACGTGTTCTGAATTTTTGATTCCATGCTTTAGTAAGATTAGCCTTTCATTGCACTGTTTTTCTTTCTTTGCACTCCCCTGCATAGCTCTGTTCAGCTCGCACCATCATTATAAAATTCATATTAAAAAAGAAAGCAGAAAAAACAAAACTGAAGTGTTTCACATCCAGTGTGTCATCTTTAAAATTATTTCCAAAGAAAGCCTCTTCTGCCCTCAACAGCTATTACTATTTTCACCCATGCTGTCAGTATTATAAATTGGGTGAGATAGTATCCAGTGTAGCCAGATGCTAGCATTCAACCATACTGAATGTTTTACTGGTAAAACAACACATTCAGTCTTCAAAAAGACTAGCATTTTATAAATGCAGATAATTCTTTTTCTCCTTTGGGCATGAATAAAGCCCTTTTATGTACCAAACCATTTTGTATTTCTCCATTGTCTGTTAGTTTGCAGCAATTCTTGATGGGTATAGGATATTTCACAGAATCTCTGTTATGCTTGAGAGAGAAGTCTCAAGGTATATGATTTTTTCCAAGGTGGGAAAGGACTAGAAAATCAATATTTGGTTTGACATGCATCTTCCTTTATTTAGCTGGTTTATCTAAAAGGCAGTAGGGCTAAATTCAGATCTTTTCTTTTGAAGTAAATTAGCGTATGGTAGCTTTGACAGTGTAAGTAGTTGAGCACAGAAATTAGATGGACACAGAACATCGAAAATATCACTTGAGATATTTTTTCAAAAATCAGAGAAACAAAAAGTCTTTCTACAACTAGCAAGCCAAACAGCAAGCATGTGGTTGTTGGTACAACAAATCTCAGATTCAAATGTCTTTTAAAAATTGTTTATAAGAACATGATTCGTGCAAATCACTTCAGTGTTGAAGAGAGCAGGTATCAACAAACACAGTGCAGTTCTTCAGGAAAGTAATAAATGTCTCAAGTATAAAAAGAAGCATGTATGCAGAATGGGGAACTGTATAATAGTGACACTAGAAGGATTTGTCAAACAGTAATTAGTCATAAAACAGCCCAGGTTGAAAGGGACCTTGAAAGATCAGCTGGTCTAACCTTTCATGGGAAAGGGACCCTAGATGTTACTGTCTAGCACGCTAATGATGCTTACCCGGTACAATGATTTGGTAAAAAGCCTTAATGAGATTATTGAGCAGAATATAGAAGGGAGGTATTCATATACTTTCATCTGGTAAGATTGATAGTGAGATGATGTCCAGAATTCTGTATTAGCAGTTTAAAAAGAAATATGAAGGTAATGTGGAGAATTTAGTGAAGGGAAGGGAGGAACCAACACTTCATTTTAGGGCTGCAGGTAATTTCTTAGAATGTGATTATTCAGGCTCAGTTTCTTTAATTAATCAGAAAAAAGAGTTGAGGAATGATCTGACTACGATATAAAAATGATTTTATGCATAGCAAATTACAGAATAGTCTCCAGTATGACGAGAGCTAGTAGCTAGAAACTGAAACTAGACAAACACAAATGAGAAATAAGGAGTTAGTAGCAAAGATAACTAGATGTTGAAACAAACTACAAAAAGAGGTGATGTTTGCTTATATGTTCTCTTGTATTTAGCACATTTTCCCATTTAAAAAATATGTTGTGAAAGGCATTGTTCTTAACTGATCAGAATAATCTTGTATAGATTGAGTTCTGAAATGTGTTTTGTAATGTTGTGCTTCACTACTCAGCAGTTGTGGTTTAGGTATTTTGAGCAGAATTTTCAGTTCTCTCTGCTTTTTCATTTATATTGGAAACTTAAAATGTTATAGTGTTAAAAATTCTGGTACCCCTACTAACTTTTGTGGGTTTGATTTTTAGTAAAACAGATTGCAGTTCCTCCTGGTACAACCGTTTCTACAGCTTCGTTTTCAGATGATGTTCCACAACCTACAGCAGTCGCATCATCTCCTGGTTCCAAAGATCAAATTAAAGGTGAAGATGAAGAAAAGAAAAAGAAGGAAAAAGTAGAAAAGAAAGGTACTTCAGTTTTCTTAGCTGTGATAGACAGTTAAGGTATTTCAGTTATGCAAGTGCTTTTACATCATTTTGGGCACAGAAAAAAAGTCTTACAGCCACAGCAGGAAGTCATGTGCTAGCTCTTAAAAAATCTTGGAAGTACTTGAAGTTAGTGAAGGCCATCAAGTAAGCTACAGATTCTTACTTAAACAGGATACATGCCAAATTTCTTTTCATGTGACTGAACTCCCTTATTTAAAAAAAACCCACAACAAAAAAACCACTGGTGAAATTGTGTGGCTAAGAGGAAGTACTGGGTAAAGGACATAGGCAGATAGCATAAGCTGGTTTTGGCATCAGGGAGGCAATGTAGAAGCAGGGTATGTAGGTTTCCTTAACACCTTTCCTCCTGTTTTTCTTTTTTAGCTGTCTGTATTGACTTCTGTTTAACAAACTCTCTTAATAGAAGAAAAGATGTGTCTGTTAAACTTACACAGAAGTACAAGTGTCTATCTTGTAACTTAAACTCCTGTTTTACAATCATTCTCTTATGCAAATTATTATTAATTTGCTATGAATTTATTTGCACAGCTTTTCAGAGTTTGGATATTATGCTGATAGAGCACTGTACCTCTTTTATTTTTCTGGTGAGCTGTACTCAGGCTTATAAGCTTCTTCATATTTTTTGGTGTGCTGCAGCCTTTGACACATCAATATTCCACAGAGCTGTAAATATAAAAGCAGAGACCACATGTCATATCAGGCAATTAACTGTTTTCTTCAAGTATTCAGTGGCTACAGAGCAAGTATTCAGTTGGTAAGGAAAAATAAAACTTGTATTGTATTTTCCCTCATCTTATATAAGTAGCTTAAATTTAGAAAGCAATCTATTTCACTTTTTCCTTCCAGTGACTGTATTTGGAAAAAGGTGAAATATAGCATGAACATTAAGTGGAAGCCCTGAACAGGCTATTTCTGTGGAGTTCAACATCGGTATAGTATTTAACAATCAAAGTAACCAATCTGTAAAATGTGTTTTTTAGTCTTGAAATTGATGAAATTAGGTGACAGAAAGCAAAAGGATTTGAGATATTCCCTATCTCATCTGTTTCCTCTCTGGTTATTCCCATATTCTTAGTTCCACTTCTTGCAAACTTCATCTGTGAGGCTCCTCTGGATATTGATTCTGGGCTGACTCCCACACTGGCCAGAGGAGTGCAGTTCTCTCCTTAGCCTGCAGCATTGAAACGGATGTTTTCTGTGCATCTGAACATATGCTGTGTACAGACATCCTTTGCTATGTTCTCTTTTCCTTCTTTGGTGACAGACTTCATTTCTCTAAAGTGAAATAAATAGGGTGCTAGAAGTTGATTTTTTTTTTTTTTTTTGGCTCCAGGCCATTGTAGAGAAATGTCATGAAGTGGAGAACAGTGAGGAATGATACCAAGCATAAAGATGGCAGGTCTTTGAAATGATCTTAGGTATTAAATATTAACTGTTTTGATGGTATTTTTTCAGTTTCTCTTCAATTATTGTATGTATGACTGGTTTTATTAATCTAATTCTAATTAATAAAACCCAGTCATAAACTCTAGAGCTTTTTATTCATCCTATATGAACTGAAATATTTTTTAAGAGCTATTGCTTATGTTAAAAAAAATACTGCCTTTTTATTATTGAATGTATTATTTAATGTCAACCCTGTACTAGAGCAATGATAAATCAATCAAATTGCGCGCTGTGTCCACTTTTCCTTTTTTGCTCCCTAAAGAAGGGAGTTTAGCTTACATTAATATGTAAGCTATCTGGGATGAAAGAATAACAGAGTATGCTTATTTTAAGTAAGCACTTCTTAGACACTTCGTAATCCCCCAGAGATTATAGTTGTTAAACAAATCTTCAATGTCTTTTAAACAGGACAGCCTTATATACAAACTGGGTGTAACTTGCTCATCTCGAAACAAGTATCTTCCCCAGAGAATAGTTGTTAAACAAATCTTCAATGTCTTTTAAACAGGACAGCCTTATATACAAACTGGGTGTAACTTGCTCATCTCGAAACAAGTATCTAAATAAGCAGCTGAGTATGGGGAGCGTTGCTTCACTGCTGTTTTATACTTTACAGTATGCATGGGTGATGATAAACCCTTGCATTGCCATGGGATAAAGACTCCGCATCAATGGAACCTCATAAGCCATGAGCATTTTCACACACTAGTATATGTGGGAAGTGAAGAATGTTAGCTAAGGTCATCTTGAAGGGTTGCTTTGCAACTGTAACAGTGTAGTTGCAGTGACTTGGCATTGTCCACAGTCAGGAGCTGTTAAGCAGTAGTAACCTGATAACTGGTGATTGTCTAGTTTCCCTTTGCTGGTGAAACACCATGGCAAGACTTACTGGTAATTGCTAATTGTTTAAACAGTACTATCAGGCTTATTGATGTGGCCTTTGGCAGAGTGTATATGTCACTTACATGTGCGTTAGCTACACTTAAAGTTCAGCATGACTTCACTTTACAAACAAGAAAACACCTCTGTCCTAAGGTGGTAATTACTTGGAGTAACAGTCTAAATTGGAGCGTGTATGATGATTGTCCACTGGAAACTAGTAATAGAGGTGCTAACTCTTTACTCTTCATCTATGCTTTATACTGGATTTACACTTATTTCTGAGATTGTAGCTCGCTTTTCCCTTGCAATAGTCATATACATTATTTATGCTTTTTTAAAAATGTTTATTTCATGAGCTAAACTTTCTTTAATAGGTGAAAAGAAGGAGAAGAAACAGCAGCCAGCTGCTGGAAGTAGTGATGCAAAATCTGTAGATGTTTCTCATCTGGATCTTCGTGTTGGCTGCATTATTACTGCCAAAAAGCATCCGGATGCAGACACTCTGTATGTTGAAGAAGTGGATGTTGGTGAAGCAAGCCCAAGGACTGTTGTCAGCGGTTTAGTGAAACATGTTCCTCTGGAGCAGGTATTGACAAAATTATTTACTGATAGCTTTTCCTTTCCTAAAATATCTTAAGACCTTCATCTGTTTATAGGGTGTGTTTTCATTATGCTAAAAGATTTTTACAGTCATGAAAGCAAAAACAGAATGCAAATGGAAGTAACGCTTAATAACATTTGCCAGCAAATGGAGAAATACCCTTACCCCAAATCAGTTCCTTTCTGCTTGCAGTGCTTCTATCCTGGGATCTTATTCTGACTCCTCTGTGATGCCATTGGTACACAGTGGACTCCTAAACCAAACAGATGTGACTCTCCCTTTAGGTTTCCTAGTGTGTAGTAGAGAACCCATAATAACTTTTTTGCTGTCATCCAAACTTTTGAAACCTTTGCCTTCCAACTCTCTTTATAGCCCGTTGGAGTGTTTGGCATGGAGTCAAGCAAAGAGCATGTAAATTTAACTTAGCTGGCAGTGAGTGGCTTAAACAACAGCAGGATACAAAATACATATTTTTACTTCCTTGTCCAGAATAGTGTCTGCCTCTACGCTTTTTTAGCTGATACACTTCTGTGTTTGACATGCATGGTTTATGTATGTCTTGGGAACAACCTGAGATTTCAGGATTACACTTTCCCCTCACACCTCTTCTAGAGGGTTAGCGGAAGGGCGGAATTGACTGAAGGCTGCTTCTAAATTCAAATACAAGCTTGGCAATTAAAGCAATGTCGTATAGAGCAACTGCAAAACGGGTCGTGAAGGAATTGATCTTAGTGTGGAAAAGCTACATTTTCTCAAATGCCTTTTCAATCCCTATTCATGCCCTGTCCCCATGGTAAGACTGCAAATGTAGGAAGCAATTAAAATTGTGATTGTTTTTATGATACAGAAAGTTATTGAACTGAAAAAAATGACTGAATACAATTACTGTTCTGCACTGATTACCTGATAGTGTCCGGTTACTGGATTTGCAGTGGGGAAAAATTCAAATTGCTCATTTTTAGCAGTCCGCTCTCAAGAAAGCATGTAGAAAAAACATCTTAAAAACCTTTCTAAGTAAACTTGCGAACATGAAGTGTACAGAATGCAATGGAAGTAACAGTCTTTTCTCTTTAACCTGCTTTCTGTCTGCAAAAAATAATCCAAAGTACTCATTAACAGAGAATTAATGTTATTATTTCTCATGCAAAATATGCAAAAGAACTTGCATGTTCTTTGGGAACAGTTAGTTTGTGTGTCTGGTTTTGGTTTTGGCAAGTCTCTATTGGACAGTAAATTCTTAGGGGCAAGCTTCCATCTTTCTGTGTTTTTTTTGAAGTGTTCAAAAATGTGAAGGCCTAGCATGTGACCTCTGCCATATATTTAAATAAAAATGTATACATCAGATCAAGTACTATAGACATAATTCACCAAAAATTCAGCTATTTATGGTTGCAGTGTTTGATGTGGTAATTTAGCAGTGTTTGAGGCTGTAGTATTTGTATAATCCGATTTTACTCTTAGTTAGGAAGCACAATGTGTATCTTCGTTAACATTTCAGTATGCAGTGCAAGTTATTTATGGGTGTGAAAACTTCTTGCATGCCCACTTTATATGTGGTACATTGTGTTTTTGTGCACCACTGATGGTGGTGAAGCCAAGTCAGAAGTTGCACCCTCAAGTATCATGTATCGGTAGATACATGTGTCATCAGTAATAGGGATATAGTACTGAAGCATGAGGTGGACCATACCAATGCTGAGCTCTTTCAGCAGCAGCTGGGGACAATTGGAGAACATTCTGAAATGTCAGCAGGAATTGACAGCTTTTCTGTCACTGCATTTGGCTTTTTGAAGTGGATCTCTGTGTGCTCCTAGCATCAATACCTGTCTCAGGCAATCATTCTTGAAATTCAGACAATTCTCAGGTGTCGCTTTTTTAACCTCCTGAAATCCCCTTTAGCCTAAGAGATCCTCATGTCAGTGATCAGAAGTGAAGGACAAGAATGCAGGGCATGTATCTTAAACTTAGCAAGAAGAGAAGAGGCCACCATCAGCCTCCAGAAACATTATCCTACAACCATTCTTTGTGAGACGAGGCATTACAGCTGTACCTGTTACGAACTATACAGTCTCATTTTTGTAGCAGAAACTCTTTCTTTCTGCTTAGATGGCTTAATCTTCTTTCTTTCTAGATCATTGTTTAAGGGTTAGTGTCGTCCACCCAGGAATTGGCAAATGGTACTGGAATTTATATTTCTTTTTCTTAGATAGAATGGTAATTATATTCTTTATACATATTCTTAGTCTTCTAATTTCCTTTGTCTAGTCTGCAGAGAAAACATGTTTCTATAAATCATAGAGAGCAGTGACTACAGCATGACTGTAAACTTATTGACGCATTCTGTGTAATATAAGACACCTTTCCGAAAGCAAACCAGTTTTTGCCTTTGCTTTTATAGCATTATGCTTCAAGGCTATATTAAATGCTATAATGTTTCTTTTCAGATATGAAACAAATAGAAATATCTATGTAACCACGCTTGTGACTTGTAAATTATGTTTGCTGGCAACCTTAAGATCCAGACAAGCATGTAATAAATTGAGGAGGGCTTTTTGTTGCTGTTGGCATTGCAACTCACTGTGGTTTTAAAGCAATCAGTGTCTTGGTTTTAACTCATATTCACTAGCCATTGCAGTCTGTCACGGTATCTGATTTTGAGATATAGAGGGATAGTTAGTTGATAATGTATATAGACAGGTAACTTCAAGGTAATACAGGTTATACAATGTTATACAGGTAACTTCAAGGATTACCTAAGAAAAAGCGCGATGTAACACTTGTGCTTCAAGGATAAGGTCTTGTTTCTTCTGTATGGTAAACTTCAGGATTAACTTTTCCTCATTTTAGTTTCTTTGCTTTATTTCTTGCCCTCTCCCCCCCCGCCGCTTCATTCTACCAGCATGTTGGGAAAATTCATTGTTTTATTCTGAATGTGAAGTAGCTGTGTGTCCAGCCATAGAAACTGTAACAACTAACATTTTTGCTGAAACTAAATCAGTTTCTCACTAGTTGAGTTGTCAGTTTTGAAGTTCCTGGATTTCTGAAACAGAAGGATTGGCTCTCTGGAAGGCCAGTGGAGGTTGTTACTGTTTCAAGGAGATAACATTTGAATTTCCTTTGCTTATTCTCAGCTCATTTATGTATCAAACGCCTCCTGAGATGCCAAAGCCTTATTAGTTCCCTGTAGACATAGACTCGCTTCTGTTTGTGTCCTTTTAAGTGTGGAGATTTGCCTTATTGTTCTTAACCAGAATTTGCTTTACTGGATAATATATCACATATATAACACATATGCAGAAGGAAACATACACTTACTGTCTATCTGTGTCACCTTCAGCTGCTTTTCAGTAACACCCTGTATTTCTGATAGAACTTTTCACGTACTGGGAAAGGGAGTCAGGTTTCTTCCTTTTTTTCTTTTTTTCTTTCTTTTTTTTTTTTTTTTTATTTCTGCCCACTCTTATCTATCTATCTATCTGTCGGGAAACTCCCCAATTTATTTTTACAGTTACTTTTGAAAAAATTAGATTGTTTCTTTTGTTCCTCTAATTTATGGGGTTACAGAGAGTGGCCATCAATAGAATTACTGGATCTGACCCTTTGTAGCTGACACATTTCAGGGTTTTATTTATCATTTACTGTAAAAAGATCTCATAAGAGCTATGCAGATAGAATGATACCCGACCATCAGATTCCTTGATGGTTTGTAAACAATCTTTTTTGCACTTATTATGCATGAATATAGAGGGTTCACTATTGTAACTGAAGCCCTGTTTTCTGGAAACGTTACGGTAAGTCCCTTCTATAAAAATTAGCACAACCAGTTTAAAAAAAAATACAAACACTGCTAAAAACTTGCATTATTAGGAAGCATTTATTTAGGTCTAGTTTCTTTTTTTTTGCTATACTTAGGGAATTGTCATTTATCTGAAGACAGTTTAAAAATTGAGCTACTTAAAATAAAAAGAAAAAAAAATCCCTTGAAATAGTAATGTTCTGGTTTTGGCTGACCATCTTGGGGTGGGTTTTTCTTTTTGTTTTGTAAAAATATTTATTTAACCTTGTGAGTCGTCTTACCATTCATTTGTGACATCAATGCACATATCTAAGTATTAGAGCAGTTTTTCAAAAGCATTTGAAGATACTTCCTATTAAAAGTGATGGAATAATGTGTATGTTTGAAATGTTGATAAATAATTCTTAATTTTATAATAGTAATCAACTTCTTATACAGAAATCTCATGCAATATATACATAAACATTTGGGCCACTGTGATTGGTGAGAAAGGAATGATGTGTTGCTAGTTTGGTTTGCTTTTGTGTTAGTTTGATGATGATCTCCATTTCTGTATTAATGCAGTCTGGTTTTGTCAATTGTATAATCTGTAATAAAAAAGCAATGCTCTGAAGTCTAGAATTTTTTCCAGTTAGTCAAAACTAAAGTTGAGTACCAACTGCAGAAATCTTGTTTCTTTTATTCTGTATATCCATTTGCTAATTGTTATTCAGTGCTAGATAATGCCTACAACTTGCATTTTAGTCACTGACATCTTACAGCCATTTCTTGTGTTTTGGGCGATTTATATCCATAGCAATAACTTAAGACATTTTCAGTCAATGGGCTGCCTTAAAACTTCTGCCAGATCAACTTTTCATTATAACTGCTTCATTTTAGAGTTTCATATTTTTGCTTTTTAAAATGTTCTACTTGGAAAATATGTAGTATTCAGAATACTTGATCAGAAGAATTTTATTAAGTATTAATCCTGCAGTTTTGTTTAAAGTTTATATTGTAATGCACAAAGACTGAAATCTAGAAATATGGATATATACATATGTGCACTTAGGAGTATGAGAATTAAGGCTTCCTTACTTTCTGTCTCTATCTTAAGAATTCTCTTAAGAGTTCTGGGTTTAATTTTTATTCAGTTTGAAAGTGTGGTTTGTTTTTTTTTAGGCTAAAGTGTGGCCCTAACAAAGTATGTTTTCTCTGGTTTACGGTTTACTAGTTTTACAGTTTTGCTCTAACATATTGCATGCAGTGCACAGTATATACAGCCATTTTCAGTGGGTAAAAAAAATTCAAAGCATTTGGGTTAAATAAGATAAAATTTAAGATTCAAGTGAGCTAATTATGTAAAAACACCTTTATGCTTCCAGTACACAGTTTGAAATTTTTATCTATGAGCTAGCCTAATTTGTAGAGTGCGTTTTTTTGTTTTTATTATTATTATTAAATGGAAATTGTTTGGTTAATAGTGCTATATTGAAAGTGGACTGAAGTGAGTGATCTCAAAGGAGTAAAGGTGGAACACGGGTGAAATGCATTGCCTGTTTTTGGGATTTCTGAATTGCACATTTTGTATTTCCATAAGTGTTTCATAATTCAGCATTTACTCCATTATTCACTGGCCAACTCTTAAGTGGTTTAAATGTTATTTGTTACTGGTGTGCAGGCATTAAAATTGTGCATCTGTTGCTGTATGCTTCTCTCGTCCATGTTAAGGTCTCTTCATTATTTCATTATAACAAAAGAATTGCAATTAGAGTCCCCAAAAGCATATGGCATTTAAGTACTCACATCCTTCTGTCTTCCTCCCCCAAGATGCAGAATCGGATGGCAATACTACTCTGTAACTTGAAGCCTGCAAAGATGAGAGGAGTAATATCTCAAGCAATGGTGATGTGTGCCAGCTCCCCAGAAAAAGTGGAAATTCTGGCTCCCCCACCTGGGGCAGTACCTGGGGATAGAATCACTTTTGAAGGTTTTCCTGGTAAGTAAGTATTTGGGAAATTGGATGAAATAAGTATGCCAAGGTGACCTCAGTGTTGAAGCAGATAAAACAGTATTTTAAAGTTGGCTGCATTTTTTTGTTGAAATTTTCTGAATTAGTTATATTCAAACTTTTTGATTATTAGCATGCTAAGGTTGTGTAAATAAAGGATTGAAAATACTTAACTACCTGCCAAAAATTGGAAAGTACAGGGAAATAACTGTAACTTGAAAAAGTTGTATAGTACTTTGATATAAAATTACCCACTTTCTTTAAGTCTCAATAAGTGTCCTGCTTTCGGCTGGGATAGAGTTTATTTTTTTTCCTAGTAGCTGGCATAGTGCTGTGTTTTGGATTTAGGATGAGAATAATGTGGTACGGCCCTGCCAGCGAGAGGCTGGGAGGGGGCACAGCCAGGACAGCTGACCCAAACTGGCCAAAGGGACATTCCATACCATGTGACATCATACATAAACTGGGGGAAAGCTGCCTGGGGGCTGGGGGGGGACTGGCTGGGTATTGGTTGGTGGGTGGTGAGCAATTGCATCATGCATCACTTGCTTTATGTATTCTTTTTAATTATTATTTTATTTTATTTCAATTATTAAACTGTCTTCATCTCAACCCATGAGTTTTCTCACTTTTACTCCTCCGATTCTGTCCCCCATCCCACGGGGGGGGCAGTGAGCGAGTGGCTGTGTGGTGCTCAGTCACTGGCTGGGGTTAAACCATGACAATAAGTATTTCTGCTTTTGAAATTTATGGACAAACATATTTGCACTTTGCAAGTTACAATAAGAAAATGTAAAGCATCTTTCCCAGTGTCTCAGTGTAAGCGGTGAAGTAATAAGTTCCTGATTCCAGCTCCTCACACTAATTAAAGTGTCAGAACTTGAGGTAGGCTTTTTTTTTTTTTGAAGAAGTGATGGAGAAGATTGGAGGGGGTGGAAATCTCATATTTATGAGAGGAACCTGTGATATTCAAAACACCAGGGGCTTTTTGTTTGTTTGTCTGGGAGGAAATGACTTTTTGGGTCTCCAAAGACAGATACTGGATTTCTTCCCACTTAATTAAATCAATAAATCCACCTTTTTTTCAGAATATAAATAAGAAAATAGAATTTAAACTTTCTCAAAAGATGATTTTCATCCATTTTCCCACTTCCTCTACCTCCCACTCATCTACGAAAACAATTAGTTTCTGACCCTGCATATTGGGAACTCGCATAAGCATCACAGGTGTAGCATGTTGGTGAGTGTTTCCCTCCTGCCCAAATGCCAGTTCGTTATTCTCATGGGCTGAAAGGGATACGGTCAGGTTCAGCTTTTCCTGTTGCTGTCTTTGTTAGCACTGTTATTTTGTTGTCTCTATCATGGTTTTAAGTGTTTTTCGTCAGGAGGTGCTGGTCCATTATAAGCCCAGTAAGAAAGGCACTCAGATTCTATATAGTATCATTTAAAATGGTCTTCATTAGAGCTGACACTGAAAAGAGAGAATAGTATAAATAATCTTACATTGCACGGATGATGGGAACCCTGAGTTGGTGCAGCATCAAACATGCTTCTGATCCACATGCAGCATGCTGTGCACTTCCTGTCCGTAGAAGAGATTTCCCCGCTTTTGGTGATTTGAGCTACTGTTGTATTTTCTTAAACTGTCAAACAGAAAGGAAGTTTGCATGAGAACTTGATGCTGCATTGTTCCATAAAGGTGAAGACACGCAGGTGGCTCAGTCGCTGGCACCACGTGGGAGCTGCCTGCAGGCACCTCTGTTACAGTCAGCTGGCTAGGTTTATCCTGCGCCCCAGGAATTTGTGCAGCACAGCACAAGCCCAGATCTACTCAGGTCAACTGTTACGTGGATCACTGAGTTCTTGATGAACAGTGGTCTTCTGGTCAGGATCACTGCATCACTTTGTCTTAACAAAAAGTGGTCTAACTCCCAGCATTTCCTATATCGGGTGGACTTGTATGTGTGTACATCTATCAACAAAGTATTCATCTTCAGGGTGAATTTGTTGCTCAAAAGTTGGCTTTCACATGTGAGAAAATGGTGTAGCTTTGTTTTCTACATAGAAACGTATTAACCTTTTCAAGCTATTGCACCTCTGACAATTTCTAGCTGTATAGCAGTGGTTTTATTTTTGAACCTCTTGGCAAGCTCTATGCTTAAACGTATTTGCATGAAATACATACAAACACGTATATATTTATGAAAGATATATAGATATTTTTATACTTCTCATGATTGAAACTGTGATGCTCTAAAAAAATATTTGTTGGCATATGATAAAGGAAGCAATGGTCTATCTAGGTGTTTTTGAAACAGGAGGAAAGCTCAGCTTGCTGTGATTTAATGCTCTGATTGAAAATATTTTAAAATAATACTGTGTTTAAGAAGGAAGTCAGTCTTGCAGCATTTTTTTCATTTTTAGTTATCTGTATTGAAAGTATACCAAGCTTGCTAGTTGAGATGAAGAATTGGTAAGCTGTACTGAAATCTGAAAGGCTTCAGCAATTATATTGACTAAATTGTAGGAATACTCACTCATAACTTCTAGGAGTTATCACATATCTGTGAGTAAAGATGGATTAAATGTTGGATGTGTGACTTCTGTTACATGCAAGGATACACTCATATTGCTTTCTGTTGCTGTGGAAATGGATGTGCAAGAGATAGCATCAACCTGTAGAGTAAAACGTTCTAGTGCATAAGCCCTGCAAAATTATGTACAAGTCAGCCTGGGCATGTGGCTTTTTTGAGGCGTGGAGGGTCTTTTTTGTTTGTTTTCTGTCTAAGACATAACCTTACTCCAAACTTGTATCTCAGGTAACTTCGTATACCTGGCATTTGAAAATAATGTGAGAGCTGGTAGTAGTGCTGTTCTCTGTTAGCCAGCATATCTTTTCTTGTGCATGACTAAGAGGTCAGTTTTATCAAAATAAACTATTTGACTCCATGGTTGCAGTTGCAAAAAGCTTTTCCTAGAGCAAATCAGTTATGGAAACATTTGTTCTAAAATTACTCCCAGGTGTTAAGCTATACAGATATTCTGTTGACATTTTGATTCTTAAAAGACATAGAATCAGCTAAAGGTGGTATAAAAGTTGTACTAGTTCTAAAATTATGACCTGCAGCCTGTGATACAAGGTTTTGTATGCTTTGTTATCAGTTTCCTTCTGACAGGGAGCCAAAGACATGGAGGTCTGATAAAGTGCCAAATGAAGGTTTTTACAACCCCTTTGAAAAACATATACATTCAGGGCTATAGATTGTAGTCTGAAATATGGCAGCTGTTTCCTAATGTTTCATATATAGCTGCTCAGAAAAATTGGTAGGTATGAAATGAAAGCTAATCATTGACCTTGAAAATATACCTAATGCTTAATAGTGCAAAGTAGAGTGATGTATCTCCTAGTCACATAAAACTTACTTTAAAGAATTTTAAGACTTGTGTTTTTATTATCTTGGAGTAGGAAAAAGCAAGAAAAAAAAAAAGCATTGATGGATGGAGACTTACAAAATCCTTCTGACATCTGCTTCTGTAACTTAATTTGTTGTATACCTGTCTTTTGCACATTGCCTTTGTAAACTAAGATATTAATACTGTGCACTGGTAGGTTTTGGTTTGCTTTAGGGCTTTTTAAAATTTCTTTTACCTGCAGACTAAGATTGTTGCCTCTTACCTTCTTGTCCAAGTGATTAACAACTTTTGGTGGGTTTGGTTCCCCCCTCACCAACTGGGTGGTTTGGTGTTTGGGTTTTTTTTCCCTTTTATTCCTGGGGGGTGGGTGGGGGTCAGTGTGTGCAACTCACTGGGAGAATGGAAAACTGTTTCTCAATTTTTAAAGGGGTTGTATGTCTGTATCTTCTACTCACCTTTTTTGTGTTAAAATCTCACGTGCGCTTAGCTGCTGTCTCCTCAAAGGCAATCTGGCACTTCACTAATACTGTTATCAGGAGGGTAGAATCCTTGCTATGTCAGATGTCATTTAATTTCAGTGCTTAATTGTAACCATTTATATTCTGATCAGATTTTTTTTTTTTAAAAGAATACTTTTAAAGCATAAAGGTTCAGTCTGAGTCCTTGAAAGTCAAATAGAAGGGACAGCTGGGTCTTGTTTTTGTTTGAAATATGAAAGCCTATGAAGCAACAGAAGCAGCAGCAGCAACAATAAAGCAACTCTAAAACACACAGCTGTCTATCAAGCCGCTTGGAATCAAGTTATTTTTAAGCCTGCTCTCTCCACCATACAAAATATTCATGAGATACAGGCTAATTTTCCTTGGTCATTTTAGTCAAAGTAAACAAATGGTATCTTGATTCAAACCAATTGAACTTTTTTCTGCAGAAACTTGAGAGTTTTCCTAGAACCATCTTTAGTGTCCTAGAGGAGTGATTTGATAAGGAATGCTGTTGTCTGGAGGAGTATTCTTTTTTTGTTTGTTGATTTGATGTCATTGCCCTTAGGGGAACTTTAGCATGGTTTTATATTCCAATACATGAATCTTCAAGATCTCTTGGTCCTTTTTTGTATTAAGAACTTTATCAGATTTCTATCCGCCTTCAGTGGAAAAGGTCTAATTCATAAGCCATAGAAAAATCATTCCATCGCATGTCTGTAAATACTATGCTCTCCTACACAGTAATTGCCGTAAGACAGCAATAATTGGTGGAGTTTTCACAGCTGACTGTGAAATCTTCTTTCTAATAGCAGTATAACTGACGCTTTGACAAAATTCTTCAATGCAAAAATGCCACAGGAACCATGAATCTGTTATTTAAGTTTATATAGTTCTGGTCCAAGAATCCCTGGCAATTTAGTTAATAACTATCTCTTAAAAAAAAAAAAAGTGCTAAAACTGGAGTGCAATGGTTAGTCTGTATTTAACAGGTTTCTTTTAATCAAAGCTTTGGTGTATGGATGCTTTCCTTCAGCTGCATAGTTATAATCCACAGTGGGCTAACTGGTACTAACTTTTTGTAAGGTCGCACATCACCACATCTTTTTGCCCCTTATTGTGCTGAGATATAGTCTTTCAATAGTTACTGAGCTGTTACAACATGGAGAGGTTTCTTGCTTATTAGGAGAATTTCTTTCGTAATATTTAAACTGCTAGACCAAATGACATGCTTAACAAAATTTGGGACCTCTTATTTGGTTCTTTTTATTGAATGAGAGTGGGAAGCTCATTAAACCATTGCAAGTTTAAATTTATTTTATTTATAGAAACCCTTCTAAAGAATATTTTCTGGAAAGAAAGAATGCAATGAAGAGAAGTCACAGGAAAATGCACAGCCTAAAGCTCTGGTAGTATTTAAAATTGGTGCCTGTGCTAATCTAATATGAGCTCACCACAGATCCCAAGGGAGCTTGATGCAGGATTCCAAAGAAACTTATTAACATCCAGAGCGTGTGTTTTATAATAAAAGTCAGGTTTTTTTCTTACTGAAAAAATTCACTTGCTTTTTATATTTGAGGAGGGGGAAGGAAATGCACAATGGATCATTTAACATTCTGCTTAATGATTTTAATAGTTCGTATGCATTCACTTTGGTCTAAATCCATGTCTGTCTTTGTTCATGAACTTGAGCATTGAGCAGGATTTTTATTTTTGTGAAAGTGCGCAATTAGCTCTAAATGTTTAATTTATTAATGGTATTACTGATTTTTCTTTCAAATATTAAGTGCACTGTGGTTGTGAAATAACTCAACTGCATTATTGAATCTTGCTTTGGCAAGGCTAGCCTGCTTAACGGAGAAGTCTGGCCTGGTCTGTTTCTCTTACACAGTTACAGATATAGAAGCGACAGAAGTTAGACCTGTCTGCAGGCAGAAGTAACCTACTCTTGCAAGCATTGAGAATGCGAGTAGATTGAACCATTGAAAACATTTAAAGGAGAAAAACAGTAAGGCAGGCTGGACTGAGAGTAGTTAATTTAACTGCCTGTTGGTCAGCCAGTCGGGAATACGCCAAGCAGTAATGAATTTCAACCAGCTACTAGAAACACGTACATTAGAATCCCTGTAGCATTAATAGTTTTTCTTCCTGAACCTTTGGGGACACCGAGTAGTGGAAAATGAGAGTACTTGATATTCTGCTCACTTGGAGAGCTCCTCATTTTCCTTTAGGAACTCCTGGCTTCTTGAGAGGATCTCAGGGAGGATCTGTTTACTAGGATTTGTTTTTTGATTCTTGCTTGTTCTGGAACTTAAGATTTGAATAGTTTGGGCAGAATGGTGCCAATATGGCACTCCAAGCAAGTGAAAAAAAAAAAAAATATATATATATATAGTGTATCAACAGTGAAATAGCATGGGATTCCTTTCAGCACTTAAATGTGCTCAAATTGTATTTAAAACAAGTCTTGAGCTTTTTTTAATTTGTCCTGCCTGTGTTACACACAAGAGGTCAAGAGCATCTGACAGCATTATGATTAAGTAACTTTTTAAATGAAATATCTTTTTTCTTTAAGAGAATCTGCATTGTATTAGAATTAAGAGATTAAATTTACTCGACCTTTGAACAGAAAATAATTATACAGTGAATTGGTTGTCTTGCTTTATCTAGATTATGTCAGCAGGCAGTAGTTTATTCAGTATAAATCTTTAGAGCAAGAGAGCTCATTTAGCTTAGTTGTTTTGCTCCTATACTTTGCATTTCACGTCTATTTAAAAATAGGAAAATATGACTGAAATACTTCACTATTCTATGTAATTTGTTAACAGTATTTCAAAACATTAGTAGAAGAAACCTGCATTTTGTGGTCATTAGAGATCCTTAAATAGTCAGATTTGCTAATGTAGTTAGACTGTCAATACCTCTAGGGAGTAGGTAGCTTGTCATGCTGTACACATAGAAACAGGGAACTGAGACTTATAGAGACTGAGGCCATATTTGCTGAAATACAAGCTGACCTCTAGTGCTCCTGTTATTTTAGGCACCAGAGCTTGTCATCAAATAGTACAAAAAGTAGCAGAACAGTGTTAAAACTTGGGGCTAAAATTATATGTCAGTATGCTAATTTTGGACTATTCTTGTCTAAGTTCGATATTTCTCAACTGTAAGGGCACCTGCCAAATTCACTTAATATTAATTGCTTATAAAAATTCATTAATTCCTAAACTTAAGATGCCGACAAACCTGTGTCTTGGTGAGTAGTGTATTTCTGTGGTCCACATCTACTTAATTCTTGGGAATCCTTTTGGTCTCTAGTAAATTTTGTAAACCAACAACTAGCAAGGGTTTGATTTCTTCCTTTTGACAGTATTTGTGGTCTGTTACTTTACAACCTTTTTTCCCCTGAAAGATCAGCATTTTGAGAGTGGCTCTGGAGACATTTCCTAGACAATCCCTAATTCCAATTAAAGTTTTCGTTTTGAGAGTCGCAGGTAATGGTTTTTTCCCTTATAAGTGTGTGCAGTGATGCTGTGTGGGCTGTCACAGATGTGTACATACATAGAGTGCTTGCTCTGCCTTCTGTGTTGTTTGCTATTAGGTTATTCTTTGTTTTGAAACAGGAGATCCTGAGAAGGAACTTAATCCCAAGAAGAAGATTTGGGAGCAAATCCAACCTGATCTTCATACCAATGACCAGTGTGTTGCTACGTACAAAGGAGTTCCATTTGAAGTGAAAGGGAAAGGAGTCTGCAGGGCGGAGACCATGGCAAACAGTGGAATTAAATAAATAAATAGTTATTAGAAGCTTTTTCAGATGTTGAAATGGAAAGTAATGCAAGCACAATAAAAAACATGAATATATTACCCCTCTGAAATGCATGGCTAATACCTTTTTTGTTTGTCTCCTCTTCCAGAGGTACAGAATGTGTTATGCCTCCAACACTTTCACAATTCACTCATTTACCATGCTTACTGTCCTTGAGGTTAAGCATTGTCAACAGTCATTAACCACTCAGTGCTCAAGACTTAATTGCCAAGGCTTGTTCATGGTAGAACTACAGGCAGGCAAGCATATTTTCTGGACAGCTAAAAGGTTTAGAGGATCTATGGAGCAAGAGCATCTCAATAAGGAAAAATTTCTGCCATGTTCCTTTGTGCTAGCTGCTCTTCAAGAGGTGCAGGACTAGCAGTTGGTCAGTGAAAACCACAATCGTCTTCATTCTTCTAGTCGCCTTTTAATAGTTTTTCTCCTCTTCTTTCAGGCAGGTTTCAGATATATTATAAGCCTCTGCAACTTTGTTCTTGGCTGTGTTGTCTCAGTAGTCTGCAGACAATTGTAATGGGAAGATTAAACGATGGCCCTTTATGCCCTAAGATATACAAATGGACATACTTTCTTGTCCCACAGTTACGCTGTTACAACGTCAATAAGATCAAAGCTGTCACTTTGCTAAAATAGTTCTTTATCTAGTCCACCTAGATATTTCCTTCCAAATGATAGGTACTACTAAGAAAGAATGAATAGCAAAGAGATTGCTAGAGCCAGTCAAATACTACCAAAAAAAAAAATCTGTTTCCAATGCCCAAACAGGTATAAAATAAATTAATTTTTTTGTTTTAATGTATTTTTATGCAATGATACTTTATCTGAAAGGTGCTTTGGATTTAACAGAAATAGCTTCTTCAGTTTTTACAATTAGAATTATTCCATAATAATGTAGTACAAGTAGTCATGGTTGCTATGGTAATTACCATAGCCTCAAATTACTTCTTTTAATTCCTGCCTCTTAATAATCTGAAAATAACTATTTTAGATCAATTTACAATAAACCTTTTAAGTAACTATTTAGAGATATTTCAGATATTTTGGCATATAATTAACTGGTTACTGTCTAACCACTGAAACAGTAAGCGCTTTTTGAAACCACTGAAATAAAAAAACTTAGCCACTCTGAATTTTGCAGGCTTTGAACTTCATCCAGTAAACTGGGAGAGAAAACAAAATGACAGTGATATAAAAGTAAAAGGAACAGGCGCAAAAGAAGAGATGAACAGATTTTTTTTTTGAATGAGTTTTGTATGTGCCTATAAACTGTGTTAATTTTTCATGCATCTGGGAATAAGCAATAGTAATTAGTTCTTTTAAATGTGCCAAATAGCGTTAAGCACATGGGAGCTATTTTATCTGCCTTGTAAACTATGTATCCAATAATGTCTTATTAAGCAAAATTCTTGAAGTTTAAAATCTCAATTTAACTAATCCTGAATCAAGGTAAGGAAATACTTTTACAGTAGATAAATCTTAGCTTTTAATACTGGAAAGCTCTTTACAAACTTTGGAATTCGGAGGAACTTCCGAAAGCTTGAAGAATTGAGCAAAAAGGCTCCCTTACAGTCTGAACTAATGTACTTTTTTTTTTTTACTTTTTTTTTTCCTTCCAGATCAGTGTTCTGTTTGAACTGCAACATACAATCTGGTGTAGCATAAAAGTCTCATTTGTGACTACATACATATTAGGACTGTGATTTAGAGCACTAGCTTGTTCTGATTTTGTGGTTGAAGCTAGGATTCTGGATGCAGTAGTGTGAGATACTCTATGAAAGGCAAGTAGTTTGGTAATCTACAGAGATATTTCCAACTGTGTGTTCAAAGGTATTTGGTATGGATGTGGAATTTTCTGGTTGATGGCTTCTACTCTCTTATTTCTATTAAATGTTACCTACCATAGAAAATAGACAAACGAGCACCTGAAAGCTAATTTTATTCCTTGCTGGGTTTAAGTAGAAGCACTCGATAATTATTTTGTCTTATAAAATTTAAGAGCTTCCTTAAGACAATAGCTCTTTCCTCTTTAATTATGCTCTTCTGGTTGTCTAGGAAAATGTATTTATGCTGTACCGAGCTTAAAAGTGACAACAGGGTACTTGAGGCACTGTGCAAGTATGCTTCCTCACTGAATCCAGCCTCTTCTGCCTTGTCTGCATGAGTAAGTAGAACTGCAGTGAAATCCTTCCATGTGGGGCCCAGAAGTTCCTGTAATGAAAAACAAATCTCAAATAGTTTATCTTTTCTTGTTCCTTTTCCCCACTGCCACCTCATATGCTTATGCATTAACAGACCAGTTATATGTTCTTTTCCTGGCAGTAATCCAGTTCATGCTATCTGAGTTGCTGAAATTTCTGGGGGTTTTCACCTTCCAAGACATTGACATCCACTTTCAGTGGAAATATGTGGTTGTGCAGTACTAGCAGTTCTCTGTTCTCTTACTACAGATGTTAATAGAATTTTTCCAGTTAAAAAATGTCTATGTAAATAAGGAAAAATGCTTGTTTAGCTATGTCACACATTAAAAAAAAAGTAAAATACAAGTAGTTTACATCAGTAGTTTCCACATATCCATATTTCTACACTTTCTACAGCTCTTTGAATTTTTTTTTTTAAATCACCAAATCACCTTGTGTTGAAAAAAATAAATGATGAATTTCTGTGTTACACCAATTGCAATTCCAGCTGTATCCCATAAAACTGAACTATTCTCAGCAATTCAGGAAAAACACAGATCAAATGCATCAACCTAAGTGATGGGGCAGAGAGTTTGTCTTTAACTGCTGTGGTTCATCTGATGGAGGGGAATGGAGAAAACAAGCTGCTTTTTTGTCAATGAATACAGAAAATTTTAATACGAATAAGAGATTGGGCTTTCATTTACAGATGTAAATGAAGTTACAACTTCAGTGCAATCATGCTAACTGCTGTGTGTGACAAGCAGCCTACTTTGGTAATAAAGTCCAGATCTTAACTCTGTAACCTAAATTCCAAGGTGTATAAAACCGCTTTAAAGGAGATCTTTCTACTCCCAAGATAGCGATTAATCTGTTTTAGATACTAGGGATGAAAAAAAAATTAAACCCATACAAAATTTTGGCATAAGCTGTCTAAGGAAGTGTTGGGTTATCAGTTTTGGAGAGATATGATAGTGCCTTGATTTGCTGAGGGCTCAAAGTCAATGCTCATGTTGGTTCTGAAATCAATATCTGCCACTCTCAATTCATTAAGCTATGTTACTGAAATAAAAAAATCCAGAGATACTTAAATGCCAGTAGTCTTCTACTGATATGCCATCCTCATTGATACGCCATCCCTAATTTGCAGAGGATTATTTTAAAAACTCCTGATTGCTAAACGTAGTCTTCACACTGATGTCTTCTTGGAATGACATACTGAAATGTAAACCTTACTGTTCATATTCCCAGCACCCAGGCACCTGTCCTGCCCCATTTGTTTGTGGCTGATGAAATCACAGCATCTGGTCTTTTAAGGGGAAAATAACTAAAAAGCAAACCATTATATAAGTTGAGAGCCAGTTGTAATCATGAAACAGAAGTAAGTGTTGCTTTCTCATTATTTTTAAACATGCTTTATTTCCTTTCCAGTAGGGGTTTTAAAGCTTCATTAGAGAGAAAAGGTATGGTAGCATCTCTTATGCTTTTAAAGCACACACAGATTTGATCCAAACAGTCTCAAACTAGAAGCATGATGATTTTTCATTGGCTTAGAGTAAAAATATTTTGAGTAAATAGTGTTTTCTCTTAAATACCATGAAGCATAGAGAGATGGAGAACTGTATAAGGAAAAAGGGTAACACTGAAAACAAATATATGTAAACTGACAATGAGTAAGAGTGTGTCAAAATTAGAACCAACTCTCAAACTACCAGAAAAGTGAGGGGTAACCTACCAATAGAGAGTAATCAGAAAGAACAGGAGAGCAAATCAAACACGTTTTGAAGGCTATTTTTCTATCTATGTATTTATATATTGGTATATTTTTATCTACATATATATTTAAGTAATATCAGTTACAGCACGTAATAAGAGTTGATGGACCAGGAAGTCCCTTCCACTCCTAAAGATTTTTAGAAAGTTCATTAGTGTAAGACAGATGCAAAGTGTAATGTGCAGACTTTGGCAATAACTGAAACCCTTTGTTTCTTTGTAAATCAGACAAACCTGGTTCATCTGATCAGATACATAAACTGAGCAATGTCCTTTTGCTGGCCTTCCCCCCTTGCCCCCCCTAAAGTTATGTATGCATGATAATGAGAAATTTACAACTGAAAAGAAAGCCATTCCTCTTCAGTGTCTCTCCCCACATATCTTACCTACTTGCAAAAAAAAAAAAAAAAAAAAAATCCCCCAGGAGGTTCAAAATATTTGCTTCAAGTCAGTTATGCTAGAAATTTTCCTTAGCCAGAGTAAATTTATGGTAACTTTCTAGTACTTTCTCTTGAACAGATACAGCAGTAAGTGACAGTGCAGGACAGAGCTAAGCATCCTTGTCCCAGGTCAGTCAGATTTTCTGCGTGATTTTTGGACCCATTGCTCTCTGCTTTGGTCCTATACAGAGCACGGGAGAGTGAGGTAACCTGACTTTTGCTTGCTTTAAGTAGCGTTTCTCTTCAACAAGCTAGATCTGTCATGATAAAGCATTAACTGTCACTTCTAAGAGAAAAACTTACTTTGATAGGTAAATTTGTTTCCTAAATTCCTTTGTGCTGAGCCCACGTACAAAAGAGAGCTGTTCTTGCCTCTCTCTTCTCAGGTTTAGTGTGATAAGTGTAGCTATGGTGTATGGTGTTGGAGTTCTGAATGACGTGTTTCAACTGCTGGACTGGAAAGTGTTCCAGTTTTCAGCTGCACTTCTCTAGTTCACTTTTGCAGTCAACTCTTCCATAGCTATTGTCACCTGAAGACAAAAGAGTTGCTGTTAAGGCAGAGACTACTATTTATGTATTTATTTGTTACCTGGAGGAACTGAATTGCATGATCGCTTTCATCCGGACACAGAGGCAAGTCAGCCCTCAGGACCAAGAGAGCTAGATGCAGGCCTTCCTCCCCGAAGTGGTGAGCCAGGGCTGAACTCACTGTGTCTCTCACCTGCTCTTTGCTCAGAGCACTGTGAGGATAGCTTGGAGTGTCAAGTACTCGAATACGGAGAGCTAGCTCACAGCCGTTTCTTCGTATAATCCCCGAAATGCGACAGCTGCGTCCAAGGCTGCAGCATGTAGTCACAGAGCTTGGGGAATGATGACTCTCAAAGTCTGAGCTGCCCAGCAGGCTGTTCCCAGCAGCGCTTTTGCCAGTCTGAGTTCTTCCAAGGACAACAAGGTTGATGGTCATCTCATTGCTGTCTACCATTGTCTATGTTTTTATCCACGAACCTGTCACTAATTGAAGAACAAATAACATGAGCTGTTTCAGATAACTTTAAAAAAAAAAAAAAAAATCCATCAACAATTGCAAAATTCAATGTCTTTTGAGTGTCCTTCCCTGCCTGAAATGTTTTTAAGGAGTGTGTGGTGTAGGTAGACATTCAGTACAGCACATATACCTCTGTCTGATCCAAGGACAGATCTTTGCTGTCCTTCCTAGTCTGCTGCTTAGAAATAACAAGACCCCATGGAAGGTGTTAGAGGTATTAGAGCAACCTAACAGGCTGCGCTCCTACACTGGCAGAAACTGAAGAGCTGGGAAAGAATCAGATGTGAGAAGAGTTTTAGAAACAAGTAAAGCAGATAAAGCTAAGGGGAGGCAACAGAGAAGGGAGGAGTTGGGGAACAACCATGAAAAACAGCATTGGCACGCAGGGAGAGTAGGTTATGAAAAGGAGAGAAGCTAGGGGAGGAAGAAGAGAATGGTGACAAATACGTGCTGCTGTTATTAAGTGACCATGTTTCAGGAAGTAAATCTTTACTTATTTTTAGGAAAAAAAATGGATAGTCAGGAAGAAGTAGCTTTTAAAGGAGCACTCTCACAGCAGAGAACAGCTTAGAATACATCTTTCATCAGCTACCACTAAAGTTGAAATAGACAGTAATCTGAAAGGGCTTTCTGATACAGATAAATATAAGAGGTATGTCTTAATGAAAAAAAGAAGAGCTGAAATAGCCAATGCTGCAGGTTCTAACCCCATATGAAATTGAGAGTTTGGAAATGCATACTGTACAAGCTTTCAGACTTATGGCACAGTTAGTGGAAAAGAAAAGCATAGACGGGTGGATGGAGAGGGGAGATGGGTAAGTATCATTTCCAGTTACTGTAATTGTTCATAAATAAGCCCTCTCATTCTTTTTGTACGTTTCTGTAATCCAGTATCTGAAGGGGTTTTGGTGCATGTTAATCATCTAACAGGAATACTGGCTGATTAAATAAATTCAGAGGTGTTTCAGATGGAAAACCATACTGGCAAATAAGTAGTTGATTTTAAGTTATCGGCGACACCTGAACTTCAGAAAGATTTTTTTATTTCATTTTTTAAGATAATATGTTTAGGTACTCATAGAGACATCATGGATAATTTTAGAATGGGATTTCCTGTGATTAATTTATTTGAATTCTTGCATTTGCAGTTCAAGCTTTCTCCCTCATATTAAATCCATGCCCAAATCAATCTTTTGAAATAACTTCAATACAAAGCCAAACATTCAAGAGCTATTAACATACTGATTTTGTTACAGGCAATGTTAATTTCTGTACATTATGATTTTTCTTACTGAATTTACAGGGAGGTTTTTGTGGATTTTTTCAAATATCAATTTCCTTTTTTTTTAAGAATACCTCTTAAAAAAGACACCTTATGAAATGGTTGTCATCAGTTATTCATCAGTCTAGATGTGCATTGTATTATTTTTCTGTAGCATAATAATATGACATGGTAGACATGCATTTGTGCATTCCTTTTTTTAAATCATGATCAAGGATTTATTCTTTTTTTCCTGTAAGCAGTCTACACTTAAATACTTAGATTAATTTCATATTATGTCGCTTACCTTATTTTGCCTTAACTTCCTCTTTCATTCAGACTTCGTTCATAAACCATGCGTGCAGTGTAAAAAGAAGTTTATATGTGAACTTTGAAACTAACAGTGGCAACGTACCATGCTGAGACTGTTACGTACTCATTAATCTGGTTAATCTATTACTGATAGATCCTCATTCAATTGGATACGTTTGGTCAGTAATTGGCACTGTTGAATTTTTGCAACTTAGCTGCAGATACAGTTTTTGCAATCACTTTAGTGATTGTGTGAAGTTGATATTTTTGAACGTTACTTGAGTTCTACCAGTAGTGAAACGTGAAAGTGATCATGGAGGTACTGGGATTACTTTGTGTTGCATGTTCTTGAATGTGTGTTCATATATGCATGTGAAGAGCATATGCACTTTCTCTTATAATTGCAATGAATTAATAATTGCAATACTTTCAGATCGCAGTGTAAACCATATGCAAATGTAAAGCTGTTTGCCTAACAAAGATGGATTAAAATAATCAAAAAATTGATTAAAATACAGAAATTATTTGTGAATCAGGAAGAAAACTGAAGGCTTGCACCACTGCCAGTCATGTGCATTAGCTGGTGGCTTGATAGCTTGATACATTTCTCTTGCAAGCATCATTCTTTGCCGTGCTATAGTAGCCTTAAAACCAGGGATAAAAAGATTGTCCAGAAAGGACCTATCACTTGCTTTTTAGACAATTTCCCACAAGTGGGAAAGTAACTGATTTAAACTCATATGCCTTAGTAGAAAATAAATATAAATATGTGCTTTAATGACCAGGTTCTAGTAATAGAACGAAAGAGTGGAGTAAGCCCTGCTTGTCTGTTCACAAGGAAATGTTTAGATAAGCCACCTCTCTGACTGTAAATCCCAGGTGGGTGGAGGCACCTGTTTACTCCAAGGGTATTAAGATATGTGTCATTACAGTGAGAACAAGAATCTGGGACGTAGGCTGTCTGTGTTGGGAGGAAAAGATGAAGGTGCTCTCCAGAGCCCGGTCCTGCTGGGGACATTGTCGTCCAAAATGTAGCTCTATGTGGGAGCCTGTAAGTGTTGGTTTACCACAGTACCAGGACTGTTCCTGCCTGCTACAGCAGTTAAGTGAGACCAGTTCCTCTAGAAGCCTGTTGTCTCCCGCTGTAGTGCCACAAGCACAGCCAGTGCTTTGGCAGAAGGTAGGAGCTAATGGTGCCTTCACAGCCTCCTCACGTAAATTCACATCCTTCATCGTGAATGAGTTCATAGTTTGTGTTACTTGGCTGTAGACGGCTGTGTAATAATTTTGTTGCTGTATTTTTTTAAGAGCACATAGACAAATTAGTTGCTTTCAGGCAGCTCCTTGATCTTGAGCCCTGCCTATTCTGGTGAGAGGTGAGATGTTAAATCTTTTCCTTTGTTGTATGCATAGCCGAGGCAACTACTGATAGTTTCCACTGTGAAAAGCCTTGCAGCTCAATGCTGTGCACAGCCTTTGTTTCTCAAGGCATATGTATATATAAAATGTATAGCAAGGTTCCTTCATTTGCTAGTGGATACAAACTCAGAGAAGACTGGATGGGGGGTGACTCACTTGCAAAGCAAAAGAGTAGGTCAGTCTCATAAAACTATGGATATTGTGAAGATAAGATCCAGATGCTTCCTTTAATTTGTCTAGAAGTCTTGACTTTGGTTAAATTGTCACAGTCTAGCTCTGTACTTTTCATCAGACTGTTCCTATGCACGGTAATGCCTCTCATGACATCTGAGGCAGTGTATGTCCTAGCAGCCACATCCAGCTGAGCCAGTAGCCTGCCAAGGAGATAATTTAAGCTGTGCATGGACAAGGATTTAGACTAACAAGAAAGCTAGAATCCCACAAGCAGAGGAGTGTTGTATGCAAACTACAGCTTGCCCAGCTGGATGCAGAACAGGGCTTTTATGCTGGCAAGATGGCTGTAAAATTAAAAGTAGTGTAAATGAGGCACTGTTTAAATGATATCTAAAACTTGGCTAAGCAAACTTCCCTGCAAAAAAGAGGCATTTCTTTCCAGTATTATTATAAATGTCATACAGTCCGAGTTGGGACACATCTGGAAGGTCTTACAACAGCATGGACAGAGGATTTTAAGAAGCTGTCTTCCTGGGAGGATATGACAGGGAAAAAAATCAAACTGATTTATATGACACTTGCTTAGGCTCCTCAAAGTATGTGGAAACAGTCCTCCCCAAGGTGGCAGTATCAGCCTGCTCCACAGGTATTGTAAAACTCAACTGGGGTCCCCTTGCCCTGGAGTCCTATGCTGAAATAAAATATCAGGTCAGAAATGAGCTAAAGCATTAGAATAATTACAGGAGTCTTCAAGTGGCTCCTGAAATAAGAAATGTAAAAAGCGTTTGTCTCTCCTTTGTCACAAGAAGCATTTTTTACTTTATATATAAAATGCAGACAGCGCAGCACCTTAATGAATTTGAACAGCAGTAATGGAAGGGTAGCAGTTAAGGAACTGGAGGTGTTATTTACTGTCCCTTATATGATTCTTTTTCTAATCAAGACCTTTGTTTTCACTAGCTTTTAAGTTGATTTGTGACATTTATTATGGGGCTTTGGATATGAGATCTTAAAATGTACTGTCAGAGTATGAATTTGCAAAGAACAAGTACAGAGTACAACAAAATTGCCTTGGATGCTTTTTAGCACTCCTTACTGCCAGTGGGTAAGCTATTTTTTTGTTTTCTTTCTGTTTATATAACTTTATTTTTGAAATGGCAAAGAGAAAACCAAAACTGAGCCTATTACAGATTGGCAGGCAGGAAGGCTTCCTGTAACTGGTAAAGGAAGCCTTGTACTGCTCCCATAGAAATACCAAGCAAGTCTAGTGAGGAATTGTCAAGAATCTAAGGAAGTAAGGCCCCTAATATAATTGAAAATAAGCAGCATTTGGGTATCCACCTTCTTTAGTTGTCTTTGAAAACCAAAGCTAAAATCATTTGCAAGTAACTATTGGATTTGTATAAGTCTACAGAGTTAACTAGAGTTGTAATGCATCTTAGTCACATTACTGTGTCAGCTGCTGTTCTATTGTAATCCCTGTGATCACCCGGTTGGTTTGCACGCACCCTGAAGAAGCTCTCCATGCTCGTTAGGGTATACCAAGCAGGCTAGATCTTGTAAACTGAAATAGCATAGTTTCTCTTCAGGCACATTGCGTCTCTTACCATGTGTAATCTTTCAGTTCCCACGCCTTCTCATCCCTTACAGCTTCTTTCCTGATGTGGGCTCTCATTTTAGCCCAAGATGATGCCATAAGTAATTTAAGATGTGCTTTGATGAATTTCTCTTACTTAGAGAAAACCCAGTGAGGCCATTTTATGGATTGCCACACACAGAGGCGGGCTCTTAGCCTTCCCAAACGTGAGAAATTCAGGAAGGTATGCAGTCCATGTAGTCAGTGTGGCTTCAGTTCTGTTAGACGTATAATTTCTAAGAAACACCAGGCACGTCACTGCTGAGAGAGAGATAGGACAGATCTAGTGATGCTCTACTCCTTTTAGACTGCATTCACAACAAAACCTTTTGTGCTGATCCTAAAGGAACACACACATAACATACGTTCATGTTTCCTTAAAACAGATAATTATTTTTTCCTTTGCTTAATCCACTCCTTAGTATCCTTAGTATTTTTGAACAAAAGTAAGCAATTATCAGCAATCTTCAAGATCGTGTTTCTCTTTGCAGTATAGGTGGCTGTGTTGGTTATGCGCTACTACGTTGGCATTGCTAAGGGGAAAGGTGGTGGGGTATAGCTGCAGACTAACGCTGCAATTGCACCAGCTTTTGGACAATGTTTGTACAATTGTGGAACCAGCTCCTCAGGTTCCCACTTTGAGCAGATTATGGGTTCAGGGCAAATACTGCTGGCAGAAAGGCAGATCAAGGACCCGCCTTGTGTTTAAAAGGGGATTGAGCAGAACTATCAGCACAGTGAGAACATCAGCCAGACTTTTATTTTTTTCTCTATTCTCCCACCGAATCACCAAGATCCACAAGATATCCTTTTCCTTCATCCTCTGCAAATAATAGACAACTTCAAATTAGAAACCAGTATCTTTGATATGCTGATCTGGTAAGTCGCTGCTGTGGAAGTATTGTGTCTCTTCAGTTGGCAAGAATGATATTCTTCCAAGCACTCTGCTTCTCAGTGCACTGAGAACAGAGCACTGTAACAAGCCACAGGAGCGCAGTGTCATCTTGTTTCCTGTTGATATGGTTTGGTGTGACATGGCTTTTCAAAATGCTGGGGGATGCATTGTAAAATAGGGCATGTCACGCTTACTGTCACAGGCTGCCAGTTTCTTAATTCTCTTACTAATCCCCACCTTCTCCAATTTAACTAATGATTTTCCCCATGGCACCATATCATTTTTTTTTTAATATGCAAGGAATGTTTTTAATATACCATATTGTGCTATACTGTCTCTTGAGCAGATTACTTAGAGATATTTAAACTGTCTTGTTTTCACCTATGTTGCCAGGATATGTTTTCTCTAGTATAAAGGTTGGACATAAGTCACTAGTGCACAGGTTTGGCCATAGGACAATGCCGCAAGGCTGACATGTTCGTGTGTGTTCACTGCTTCATGTGAAATACGCAAAATATCCAAAGTAATAAAGGTGATATTGCAAGCAAGACTACACATATATAAATAATAGTTAAAAAAACCCCCGAAATCATAAACTGTTGATTTCAAAGGCATATATTTGGGAAAGAAACAACAATCAGAAAGTATTAAAATACAGACTTCAGGAAGAATCCTTTTTCCCTTACACATACTTAGCTGGATGAACTCTGACTGGCCCCATACGTCTTCTGTTGTGACAACATGAGTCAGGGTACCATACTCATTCACCTTCTTGTGATTAGCCTCAAAATTCATCCATGTGTGTAAAAGCATTTTGCCCCTGGGGCAAAAGTCCTGTGAATGGAGAACATACCTGGAAGCTCAGGAAACCCAGATCTGGCTGCTGTTTCTGTAACGCTCATTCTCTTATTCTGAGAAGCTGCACAGTTTCTCAGTTT